TGCACCACGTGCAATCAGCTCACGTTTCCTGGCAGCAGAGAAAGCCTGAGAGGCCAAACGGGAGGAAAACCCCAGGAACACTCAAAGGCTGCGTTCACTCTGCAGGTCTTGATGCTCAATTCAGATTTTTTGATCAAATCCGATTTTTTTTGTCTGCTCGTTCACACTACAAATAAAATGCGACAGCAAACGCGCTCTAGTGTGAACGCTCAAAGCGCCGCATGCGCAAAAGAAGCCGTCACACACAACGCGCTCAGTTCAGACCCAGAGCAACAGTATGTTTGACTGATGGCCTTAATATAAAGACTTCGGACTTTATATTTCCCAATTTTTGCTTTAAGTTATTTTGTTATTTACATAATAATGTAAATAACCTAATAATGATCCTTATTGCTGCTTCAGAGGATAGCTGCAGATTATACAGAACAAAGAAAATGTTCACGTTTCTCCAACGTTGTCTTCTCAGCAGTTTCACTGGATGGACAGGAAGCATTCGCGATGTTGGGCGCTGATAATTAGCGTCTGTCTTGTGTCAGTGACGTAAAAGACGGATTTAATGCGACGTGACCATCAAACAGCAGTCGCTTTCTGAAACATCAGATATGTATCCGATTCAGCACCACATACCAAAGTGACCCACATCGGATTTGTTCACACTGTCACACCATGATCGGATATGAGTCGCACAGGGTCAAAGAAGTCGGATTTGATGCGCTTTCGCCTGCAGTGTGACGCAGCCTAAGATTCACTGAAGCTTTCAGACTAACGATCGTCCCTGATATAGATATAAATATGAAGATGATTGTATCTCCGGCCCTGAGGTGCCTCTTCATGTTAAACATGACCAGAGTTCGTAACGATGAGCCTGCAGTTTGTGCAGTAATCCTGCAGGCCGCTTGAACACTCAGTTTGTCAGTTTTTTCTGCACTACGATCTCTGTGATGTCAGAGAGGGTGTGGTTGTTACCGGAACCACCAGTAAACAGAAACAGCTGGAGGAACAGTTTGCAGCTCCGTCACTCGATCAGGTATAAAAAAAACATCTTAGAGAGAGAGAGTTTCACCAATATGCCAAAAACTGGGATGACCAGAAGTCGGCGTGGCGTCCACACCTGCAGGTTAAAGCTCCACGCAGAGAAGAGGCCAGATGTGATGACGGAGGCGAAACAGCACCGTCTCGGGGGACGACCGTGGCTCAGGGGATTGGGAAGCTCATCTGTAACAGGAAGGTTGTCAGTTCGATCCCCCTGCTCTCTGTCCTGGTCGTTGTGTCCTTGGGCAAGACACTTTACCCTACCGCCTACTAGAGATGGACCGGTCCGATATTACGTATCGGTATCGGTCCGATACTGACCTAAATTACTGGATCAGATATCGGAGAGAAATAAAAAATGTAATCCGATCCATTAAATATCAAAAAAGCACCTCACAGAACTTGCGACACGGCGTAACTCGGCTCATAACCGTAGCACGTCGCAGCAGTGTGGTCACGTGATCGAGCGGCTGTGGCGTGCCCTGTGGTCTGGTTGAGTATTTGTAGCCTCGCTACCAAACCAGCATTTCATCAACAGATATATGGAGCGACTGCCTCTCCTGCTGCTACTTCAATCATGAAACTGATCAATGATCAGCTGATCGTCTCTCTTCTTTGTTTTTGGCTCACTTTGTGCCAGAAAGAGGAAACCAGCGGCTGAACAGCAGCAGCACGTTTAAGCTTGATCAGCTGTTGTTAGAATGTATTTAATATTACTTTCTACACCAGGATCTTTTTCTACAGCTGACGGTTGTAACTGTGCAGGGGCGGAGCTAGCAAAGTGTAGCCAGGGGGGCCGATAGGGCATGACAGGGAAAAGGGGCACAAAGACATACTTTTCTTTCTTATTCTCATTTAAAATGTCGAGCTTTTAATAAATAATTATCTGACTCTTACACCCAAAGTTTTAATCTGATGTAAAATGTATAGAAGTCCATCACTGTATATAGTAACTGTTAAGTCTAATATAACCTAGTAAGCTGTAGTACTTTTTCCTTTGGGAACCATCTGTGCAGTCTGCAGTTCTGTTGAAGGAAGATGTTGAATCTATTTAATTATTCTTGAAACATAATTTATTTCTGTGCATTTTTTTTCACGCTGCATCAAATTAAGGTTGATTACGTCGATTAAGCATCATGAGGTGGGGGCTGGTTCATTTTTGAGGGAATCTAAAAGTGTGTCGACTAAACCCGGCTTGGCACCTGAACAACAATTTTCTAATCTGTTGTGCGGCGTGAACACGTCCTCCTTTCTCTGCCCCACTTTCCCTGCACGCTCCAACAGTTTGCACAGTTACTTCTTTTATGGTGTTTTCAGTGGGAGAGGGAAGCGTGCCAGTCGGCCTCGGAGCTGCAGTGGCCGATGGGAGTCGTTAATAACGCTCATCAGCATCGCTCGCGGTCAGACCTCCTCCTCAGCTCCTCATTTGTTTTCCTCTTTGCATAAACCTCACATGGATTCACCCTTTCCTGCCCACAGTGCATTTACATGAGCAGGAAACCTGACACGAGGTGTGTGATCAAACTGCAGAGCCTGAGCTGTGTGTCAGAAGGTGGATTAACACCTCGGCTCAGCTCTCCACGCTGATGTTTCCTCACTCTTCATGTTTTTCACGTGACCGGTCAGACGTTTCTTTCCTCACGCCGCCGTCAGCAGCCGAGCAGGAGTTTATGAAAACATGGGAGACGACAGACGCGACAGGTAGAGACAGACGCTCGGCTCTGGGTCGGAGAAAAACTTCCTCCCATCAATTTGAATCAGAAATTTTTAAACTATGTGAATTTTCGTAGTTTTCCCAGAAGTCAGTCGTTGGTGTGGCGACGATGATTTTTAATGATTTGTCTGTGATTTCTCTCTGAAATCAGCCGCAGACCTCGTGTTTGTTCAGTTAGTTTGGGATCGAGGATGAAAATCAGCTGAAACTCTCCTGTTTGCATAAAATGACTGAAGAGGATCATTAATGACGTTAGAGCGTCTGCAGACGTCTGTCAGACACGAGGGACGCGGTGGGTTTGAAACGGTGAGGTGACCTGAGGGTCAGCTGTGTCGCTTCCATCATCTTCTGCTGCTTCTGATCAGCCGAACATCTGTGACCTCCAGAGTGTTTGCAGGTGCTCGGGTCAATCCTTCTTTAACTCAGAAACAAGCTGTTTTAGCTCCTCCCCCTTTAAGTCAAGTTTGTTCTGATTGGCTGCCCCTCACAGATAGCGTTAAAGGCCTTGTTTCTGACAGAGGAGCTGAAGCTGCACAGAACGTGGCGATGGCTCCTCACGAGCCTCAGCCGGGCTCGCATGAGTAAAAGCTGCACTGCTGCAGCTCACGGAAACATGCAATGAGCAAAACGTGACCAGCGTCACCATCCGGCGCTGTCGAGGCCTCGGAGGGTCACACGGGGCCGGTCAGGTGTGTTGTCTGTGTCTGTAGATGGTGGAGGCCACAGTCAGCTGTGAGTGGTTCACTGTGGAGATAATTATTCTGCTGCTGGACACCAATTAGAGTCCTTTGTTCTCTCTGTACAAATAACTGTGTGTGTGTGTGTGTGTGTGTGTGTGTGTGTGTGTGTGTGTGTGTGTGTGTGTGTGTGTGTGTGTGTGTGTGAAGCACCGTCCTGCAGTTAGAACAGGAGGCTGCAGGAGGGAAACCTCACCACTGTACTCTGTGCATGAATCAGCTTCCAGACTGTGAGCAGTTCTTGAGCCGAGCGCTGGCGCGCTCTTTGGCCGGGAGGTTAAACCTCCGTGTGTGTTGCACCGTGATGACACGTCGTGCTGTGATGTGTCATGAGAGCTTTGAATTTACTGTCCATTCATGTCTGTTTGGATGAGAGACGCCTCTCCCTGAAGAAGCTCACAGACACAGTACAGTAGTTTTCCAGGATTCCTGGTTTCTGCACAGAGATTATCCCAGATAGCACAAAATCACTACGTGGAAACTTAGTTAATGCACTCGATTAACTGATCATCAGCAGGTGAGAGCACCTCAGTGGAAGCAGAAGCTCTGGAGGTTTGCAGGAACGACGTCAGCGGTGATCTTAAGGAAGCAGCTGTTTCTCCTCGTCAAGAGTTACGAGCTCGTTTCCAAACCCTCTGAACGGGCCTCCTTCACTAATATTTGCGTGACTCTGTGTATCGTTCGTAACCATCAGTCCTGAGCAATATTATCTCCATAATGCCCCGCCCCCATTTCTCTGTGTAAGGAAACAGGTGAAGCAGAAAAACTGGTGATGATAAGCTGAGAGAGAAGCAGCTTTGCAAAGTGTTTCTACGGGAGTGACGACCGTTTAACAAATAAAGGAATAAATTAGTGCTGAATATGGTTTCCCCTCAGATAATTGATCCTGTAAGGCAGGGGAACTCCAGGCCTCAGGGGCCGGCTCCTAATTCATT